GGGTGGGGGAGGCGCCCCGGCGGCCCGGGGGGCGCCGCGGGGGGAGAGGGACCCTGGGGCGCCCCTGGCTCCGCATGTCCCCAACCCGCCGGCCGCTCCCGGGGTGCTGCCATCCCTGCTCCACCTCGGGGAGGGACCCAGCCGGGGGGGATCCCAACCTGGGGAGGGTGCAGGGCCCAGGGGTCCATTTAGGGGGTCCCAACCCAGAGATGATTCTGGGAAGGGACCCATTTGCACACATGTTTGGGTGCCAGCACTGGGAGCGCGCATGCAAGTGCAGCCCTTTGCACACACACGGGTGTGCACATGATCATGTCTGCACACACGGCCCTGTGCATGCACTCGTCGGTGCTCGTGCACCCCGGTGCACACATTCACCCACATGCACGCTGCTGTACATGCACACCCCTAGGCACATCCCTGTTCACACACCTATGTAGACATGTCATGTGCACATGCACACTCCTGTGCACAGGCAACCATGCACCTTTGCACGCACACACACAAGTGTGCGCATGCTCATGTGTGCATTCACACCCCTGCGCATGTGCAAGAGTGCGCCTTTGCACATGCATCCCTGTGCACATGCTCATTTGTGCATGCACACCCCTTGCACGCACACGGGTGTGCACATGTTCATGTGTGCACACAAACCCCCGTGCATGGGTAAATATGCACCTTTGCACGCACAATGGTGTGCACAAGTTTGTGTGTGCACACATACCCCTGCGCACATGCAAGTGTGCACCTTTGCACGCACATAGGTGTACATACACTGGTGTGCGCAAGTGCACAGGGGTGTATGCATGCATGCCCTTGTGCACAGGCAAGTGTGCACCCTTGTACACACTGCTGTACATGTGTAAACATGCACCTTTGCAGGCACATGGGCTTGCACATGCTCGTGTGTGCACGCGCAACCCTGTGCATGTGCAAGCGTGCACCTTTGCAAGCACATGGGCTTGCACGCGCTCCTGTGTGCATGCGCACCCCTGTGCACAGGCAAGCGTGCCCCTTTGCACACGTACGGACGCGCACGCGCTTCTGTGTGCACACGCCCCCCCGTGCACATGCTCATGTGTGCACGCGCCCGTGTGTGCATGCGCGCAACCCTGTGCATGTGCAAGCGTGCACCTTTGCAAGCACATGGGCTTGCACGCGCTCCTGTGTGCATGCGCACCCCTGTGCACAGGCAAGCGTGCCCCTTTGCACACGTACGGACGCGCACGCGCTTCTGTGTGCACACGCCCCCCCGTGCACATGCTCATGTGTGCACGCGCCCGTGTGTGCATGCGCGCAACCC